ATATACGGTGTGTACTATATTGTGATTGATATATATTATTCGAGTATTGTCGCCTTAAGAAGATACCCCATTGGATAAAGGTAAGCACCACTCGGTACCTTTAATTATCACAGTATATAGGCGATAAATACTACATAATAAAACAAAACCAACTCTTACCACTTGATAGTGAATACAGTACTGCTAAAATACTTCCAAGGAGTATGTTTATAACTGCCTAACATCATGAAAGTCCAGAGAAAAATTCAAAATACTACCGCTTCCGTTGGCTCTACATGAAGTGACAATTCAAATCAGCTGATTGGTACACTTGATGAAGTGACCAATCAGATTTGTGCAATTCGACACTAACATTAATTGGTTGGTAGGTGGGCTATCACAGTAAATAGGTTAGGCTTTGATAACATTTTGCTGTCAACCATGAAGCATTGTTGTTAGGTGAATAGTTGAGGGATAAGTTTAGGGAACTACAGCCCCGCTCCCTCCCCCACCAATAAAGTTCCCATAATTCTACCAATGTATTAGCGGTTCCAGGAATTTTTCATAGAGTTTGAATAGATTTTATATATACATTCTATACATAATGTTTTTATAGATATAATTTTCAAAACAATTTTTAATATTTTATTTACAGATAAACACTTCCATAGCGTTCGTATACATTTTATATATACTTTACTATAGAGAAACAATTATACATATTATAAACGTTTCCAAAGAGTTTTTATATATATTTATATATCTCTTTAAAGTCTCTATAAAAGGTCTATAAGGTTCTATAGAATTTTTATGTATGGGAGGTGTCTAGGTAATAATTATAGAATATCTCACAAAATAATGGACGTTTCATCAAACATCTGTGGGTGAATTAACAAAGATCATTTGTACAAAATCAATGAGCCATGCTTAATGACTTTACTTCCCCACCTGGAAGTGACAATAAATGTTTTTGTAAGCTGTAATTTCCCTCCATGCCCTAAACAGCCTGTAGCTATCCCGTTGTTTTAAACGGCACATGTTTTATACTTCTGGCTTGCATAATTATTTTTTTTAAATTTAAATTTTCATTTCTCTGCCGTTAGAAGTTCAGGTTTGGAAACAAGAACATTTTGATAGATTAATACATTCCATTATCACCATTATTAAATCCCACATGTCACAGCAATTACTAAATGTTCTTCTTATCAAACTTTATATCCTTTTAAGGCCGGGCTTCTGGATATTTCACCAATCCATCAAGCTTTACCTAACGTCTTCTGCCACTGCAATTTTGTTTCATGTTTTTTTTGTCGTCAGAAATTGAATTTTGTACTCCTTTCTTTTTGGTTTATCGTACAAATGTTTTAAATTACATTGAAATTCCAAATATCTTGAACTGTATTTCATGTCGCCTTGAATATATTAATAAAGTTTTTCTTAGGGTTAAAGACCTTTTCAACATTTACAGAATTCTGCAGCCCGTATTTTTATTTTGGCTAAAAGATATTTCAATATAATACTATTTTAGAAGACCTCCATTTATATTTACGTATTATTGAACATATTAATAAAATTGAAAAGAGACATAATTATAAATATGAGTAAAAAGCTTTATTTAAAACACAGAATACATAAAATTTTATTTAAATAATATTGAAACAGTTATAAAATGAACAATAATACCTTCATCCAATATAAAAGTAGTAAAATTCAGTAGTAAATATTAAAAGATAAATTATTAAAACAATATGCTTGTATTTTAAAAGTGGTAGTTTAATTTAGCTTGTATTAATTATAAATCTTATTTTTATAGTTCAATTAAAATTAAAATATTAGTTTTAATGTCCGCGGTAGTGTATTCAATACATTTGGATATAGTGAAGTCTTAATTATATTCAAATTTACTTTTAGGTGTACAATGAATCGGCATTTCTTGTGTTATACCCATTTTGATCAAATACCATTTGGGTCTCCACATGTACACCCTACTCCGGAACATCACAAAAATTGCATAAGTTTTTCCTTGGCCATGACGAACATTCTAGAAAGGTTTACCGATGCTTTTATCATTTTTGATTAAATATCTAGGTCCGGAAATTTCCCTTTAAATGGCCCTCATATCAACGCCCTGCTTCAGATTGTCAAAAAAATATAATTTTACTTGGAACATGACAACAAATTACAAAAATAGTTTCATTGAATTTTTGAGATATTTAGGTCAGAACGTTTCATACAGATTAGTAGATCAGTTTTTGAGATACCTAGAGTCCATATATTCTCACCCCACTCAAATCTTGATCGTAACCAAATTAGAAAGGAACCTTCATGTCAATATAAAAAATCATCTGTAAATATCTGACACGTGTAGACCTCAACTTGTAGGCAGAGGTTGCTAACAAACATTCATTCAAACACACACACACACCCACACACACCCATACACGCACCCCCCCCCCACACACACACCCACTAACACTTACGAAGTCGAACGAAAATCTAACTTCCCTGAGGTAATAAAGGCAATTCAAATTAATAATGTTCCTATTAACGTTTAAAACCAGGTTACAGGATGCAAGCACACCTGGCACATAGAAATAGCAATTTTAATTTTTGTATTAAATTGTTTAGAAAAAAAAATATTATACTAAAGTATTCACATTATAATGTGGGCAGATACCAATCGATATACTTACAATTTGGACAGATTTAGTAACGGTAAGTTTTGGAATAGCAATGCCCAAGTCACTCGACAATAGCTGAGCTGATCCACCATTAAGATTCAGGAAGAGTGAATGTTTAAGGGAGTCAGTGGCAGTAATATCAACAGGCATACCATTAATTGAGAAAAACATCTTTAAAATAGAAAAAAAATACATTCCTTTACATGTTTACTTTTAAGAAGATGAAGTCTGGAAGAAGGAAAATAAATTTGCTATTACAGTATGATGTAGGAAGGAGATGTTCGCCAAAATACATAAAACATCCCCAAAATGTTGGTGTTTCATTTTTGTGATCAATTCTCTCAACATCATTGAGTTCTATCAGGTTACTAAACAGTAATATACTATTCTTTAACAAACTTCTGTCCTTCCAACAGTACTAGGTTCTCTCAACAGCCTTAAAACCTCTCAATTACAGTGTTAGATTAGTTTACAGACTTAGTTCTCTCAAATAATATTAATTGCTATCAGTTCTCCACGTTCAGTTCAGTTATCTGCGGTACAAGCTCGCGACGACGCCTTCATTTTGAAATTGGCGCAAAATCCAGAAGAAGAAAGAAAATTAGGGAAGTTAAGGATAAACTACTTGTAATCCTCAATAAACAAGCACCATGAAATTTTCAATTTATTTGTAAGGTCAAAATTTCTTGACTTTTCCAGTGCAACACCATCATACTACATATTCTATTTACTAAACTACTCAGGCCAGGATAGGCCCCGACCTTCTCCTAACAATAGGAATTTTTCGTTTTGACTAGACGGCCAGTCTACTACGAACTAATAGAGCGTAACAGACATCTGCGCATGCTCACAAACCTTACTGGCTAAATCGGCGTTGTGATAGCTTCCGCGACAACCCCAAATTCTGAATTTGGCGTACTGGCGACTACGTTAATATTGACCAATCAGATAACCGGATTGTTTGGCAAACCGCTGGTATTTTTTTTTTTGGGGGGGGGGGTTTGAAATTTTCATCGCATCCGCTATCGAGTATTGTTCGTTCAATAATGAATTCATTATTAAAACAAGTGAGTAATTAAATGTTTTATGAAGGCCTATTTATACACATACAATAAATGAGGAATGAATATTCACAACATAAAGTTAGGTAAATCAGTGGATAGTGAAAAAAGGGGCCTCTTAGGCTTAGGCTAGCCTAGCCTTCTCAGGGTGGATTTCGGGTAAGAGAAAACACCGTCTGGTGCCGCTAGCGGATCGTGACAAAGTGCGAGCCAGCGAGCCAATGCGCGAGCCAGCGAGCCATGCGAGCCATACATTTTAAATCTTTTTTTTTATGTTATCCAGTTTTGCAAACATGTAGGCCTAGCCTATATTCTTAGGCCTAGTAGATGCAAATGAATAACACACCGGGGAGCGATTTTTTCCCCGTACGAAACATTTGCATGAAACTCCACTCGGGCCGTCTCGGATTGACTCGACTGGAGTTCGATACGATTGGTCCGGGGGACCGATTTTAGCGGCTAAAATTTGTCCGGGGGACTAATTTTGGCCGGCCAAAATCAGTCCTCCTTGGATAATATTGGTCGGCCACGAAAAATTTTGGCTTAGTCTAAATCGATCCGCCTACACTTATACGAGTTCGTACACAACCAATTACAGCACAGTGAGTGCTTACCTATCGGTCCGCATAGATTTCGAGGGGAAATCTTTTAGTGGGAAATTAGAAATTGAACGACCAATGAAAATGAAGGTGATGGGTAAGTCCAATCTTGAGCCTATTTTGCATACATCGCCGCATATAAGGCTACAGCAGGAGTAGTGCCAAAGTGCGAGCCAGCGAGTCATGCGAGCCAATGTGCGAGTCATTCGAGCCAGCGAGCCATGCGAGCCATACATTTATTTATTTTATTTTTTTCAGGTTATCTAGTTTTGCAAACACGTAGGCCTAGCCTATATTCTTTGGCCTAGTAGATGCAAATGAATAACACACCGGGGAGCTTTGCCTGTGTAGTCCAGTCATGTGCAGTACATATACTTTTGACTTTTTCGAATGTCGATCCGAAAGTATGCAGCGCTGATATATGTTGTTGAAATACAGATATACAGATACATACATACAGATATATTTATATATATATATACACTGTATTTATTTATATATTTATATATATATATTATTTTATATATACTGTATTTATTTATATATTTTTATATTTATTTGTATATTTATATATATATTTATATATATATATATATATGTATATATTTATTATATATTTATTTATATATTTATGTTTATATATTTATTTATACAATTATTTAAATTTTTTTAATATATTGTTTGTATATTTATTTGTGAATTTATATATATATATATAATATATTAATATATATTATTATGTTCGTATATTTATATATATATTTATTTGTATATTTATTTATATATATGTATTTATGTATTTACATAAACTTATTAATATATATAAATAAATATACAAATAAATATATAAATGAATATATGAATAATTACAGTATATATAATATAATACATAATACAGTATTTATAAATAAATTTATATACAAATTAATATATTATTAAATATAATAATATTTATATGTATATATAAATATATATATGCATAAATATGGAATTTTGGAATTTCAAAATGGCCGCCATTTATACAGTAAAAGTAACCATAACTGCGTTATTAGAGTAGGTATCGACATGATTTTGGTACCAAACCCTATTTTCTAAATGTCAGCCTGTCCAATGGTGATATTCTCACAAACCATAAATGGCAGCCATCTTGAATTTCAAAATGGCTGCCAGTTTGAAAGTAAAATAGCAATAACTGTGCTATTAGAGCAGGTATCAACTTGATTTTGGTACAAACCATAGGTTTTCAATGTCAACCTGTCTAACATGGTCATATACTCACGAATCATAAATGGCGGCCATCTTGAATTTCAAAATGGCTGCCATTTTCACAGTAATAAAAAACACAACTTTGCCATTAGAGCAGCTCAACATGATTTAGGTAGCCAAACCCTGTGTTTTCAATGTCAAGCTGTCGAATGGTGATATACACATGGATCAAGAATGGTGGCCATTTTGAATTTCGAAATGGCCGACAAAATTCTAACACAAACCGCTTAGATTTTTGCGAAGTAATGTCAATTATTAATTGCAAAACCCAAGTTTTAATTGCAACCTATCAACAAATTAACCTGTCTAATGGTTATATTCCAAGTGGAATCATACGTCCTTTCTTGGACCATGAAGACAGAAAGACAACATAAGTGAAGTACCAAAGAGAAATCCAAAAGGGTCTTTGTCATGATTCTGTATGTCAGTGGTCTATCGGAAAATATCAGATCGAATGAGCACACACAACTTTAATACATGATTTAGACATCAAAATAAGTTGAGAGAACTGGTGCATCCAAAAAACAAGATTCTATGAGCAAAAACTCACCTTAGAGTTATTATGTGGTCATTGCGACCAATAGTAAAAGGTTTAACCGCTTAGGTAAACATGAAATGAGGTTGAAAAACATAAATAAAGGGGTGCGAACTAGAGCCAAAATGGGTTCGTCTTAATGAGACATGCACAAATCAGCAATCACTGGACATATGGTCACACACAACCACATCCCAGATTGGAAATACTACAAGTTACATGGGGAACTGTAGATGAATAAGGATCTAAATGGTTCAGAATTAGAAGTAAAGACAATAATTATAATAGAGACGAGGGAGTACACCAATTGTCCCATGTGTAGGAACAATTTTTGTTGACCCACAACAAGACCCAGGGACTCCTGCTTACATCAGACCAGGAGAGGTTAGCCGACACAATACCCCCAGTCGGCAAGCTGGAGATAGATATGCAGATTTCTACACGTTAGTTTGAGAATGGTAACTGAGTGACCAAAACTGTCTTGTAATATCAAACAGTCCACAGTTAATATTCCCATGCAGATTAAATTAAATCGCAGTCAGTTACTTCGAAAGGAAGAGGTCTCACAATTGGGTGCAAAGGGTATTTAATCGGCAAAGACAGTAGAACAAGGAATGCGTAAACTAATTTTATTGTTCACTATGGGTTATGTTTCCAAAAAATAAGAGTTGGATCTACTTCATTGGTATTTTTACCATTTGGCAATACCAAAATATAATTGTGGGATTGGGGACAACGTATCACGTTGATAGAACAAAGACAGAGGTTGTTTCCTTATCTTTGCTAATGGTTAGAGTTTAACATGATCAATATATCAATCATAAATAATGACAGCATCAAAGACACAGGTTAACGATTACAAACCAGATAAAACAGTCCAGCTTTGTTAAAATTTGACAGATATGATGTTCAATATTTAGTGAAGTGC